TATTTTCCAGCTTGAATTCATTCTCTCCGTCACATTCAGGTGCACCAATCAAACGTATATTAGGTCTTTTCACATAGTCCCATATTGCTTGGAGACTTTGCTCATTCCTTTTTATCCTTTTTTCTCTATTCTTGTCTTGTCGTTTTGTTTCATTAAGTTGGTCTTCGACCTCTGATATCCTTTCTTCTGCTTGATCCATTCGGCTGTTTAAGCTTGTACATATTTCGCTAAGTTCTTGTGTTGTATTTTTCGACTCCATAAGTTCATTTGTATTCCTCTCTATATTGTCTATTCTTTTCAACATTTCATCTAACCTTTTTTCCAAGTTCTTATTTTCTTTACATTGGGTTAGAACAAGTTCCTTTAACTCCCAGAAGTTTCTCATCATCCACCTTTTAAAGCCTACTTCAGATAATGGAACACAGTCCTTTTCCATCAGGGCTTGTTCCGTTGCTGATGGGTTCTGATTTTGAGTATACTCGGCCTTCTTAGGCTGTTTTTTTCCCTTCATTGTAGATGAACCGCCTTTCTAATTAGGTTTCTGAGTCGACGTCAGACTTACTGATTCCCAGTGCTGGGATCCGAGCCACCCACTGTGGCGGCCTAAATAGCAGCGATAAGACTGATGGTGCTCTTCTGCCCGGGAATCTCTGGTCTGGCTTCCCTCTTGAGTCCGCAACAAGCGGCTCTGACTTCCCGGAGCTCCGAACTCCGGTCAGTAGGGGAAGCAGTCCCGTTGGCTCTGCGTGAAGAGCTGCTGCGCCGAGACGCCAGCAAAACCGCTGCGGCGGCCACAAGAGTCGCGCTGGCGACCCGTGGGTCTCCTCCACTGGGAATCGGCTGATCCGTGAGTGATGAAAATTCGTCTAAAAGTGTGGCGTCGTCTCGTTCTCTGAGCTTTCACTGGGAGCTACAATCCTGAGCTGTTAGTGGTCGGCCATCTTGGATCGATCTCCCAGGGGATGTCCTTCTTGTTCCCAGATGTACGACTCTGCTTTCTCTTGGCGCATGAAGGAAGAGGGAGCCCCGAATGCACGCCTCTGCCGGCCACTCTGAGGCCCTGCACTTGCCACTGGGAGAAAGGGCTTTTAAAATCCAGACAGCCGCATACCATTAGAAAGAGCCCAGAGGGCTGCAACTGGCAAAGACCACCCTTTCTTTTCACTGATGTTTTCTTTCCTTGGCTTTAGTTTGATCTTAATCCATGTTAACATTTCCATGTGTTTTCTCTGTAAAAAAAACTGACTCGGAGTTTTGCAGATTGGAAAAGTAAGTGGGGTGAAGAAAGGGTGAGAACTGGGTGAGCCCAGACCCTGTGGTCTGAACTGCCCGTCCCCCAGACAGGTACAAGTTCGGGGGTGGGGACCGGGTGGGTGGAAGAGACCCTGATGGCCACAGTGCCCCGGGGGTCACAGTGCAGAGACTCACTGCAGGCAACAATGGAGAACCTGGCCCAGATACAAATGGGCTCTGCGGCCACAAACAAGGGCAGAGCCCAGTGAGGAGCTGGCGGGGACTCTGGAAATAGCGTTGTTGGCTGATTGAAGGTGTTTGCGGTTGAACCAGGTGGCCTATTTCAAAATAGAAACCTGACCAGGCACAACTGGGCTCTCCTTCCCTCCTTACAGATGTGAGATCTAGAGGCGGGGCCTATGCAGGGACTTCGGGAGGCTGCTCTGGTCCATGCCCCAAGGGCAGGAGTTTAAGAGGTGGTTCCAGGAGGCAGTCCTTGGTCTCAGTCTTGCCTTTGGGGGTCCCTGTGCTGGCTGAGGCTCAGCACTGCAGGGGAAGGCTGACTCTGTCTCCAACCATCCCGGAATTTCCCTTCATATGCAGCCCATAACAAGCTGGACCCCACAACTCTCTCAAGTGCTGACCCACGTGGGAGATGCCGAGTCATCCTCAGAGCGGCTCAGAGGAGGAGCCTGCCTTTGAGGGAAGTGGGTGCAAGCCCCCCTCTTCCTAATCTCTTCTCCCCTCCTGTTTTTTTTTTTTTTTTCCCCCAAGACAGAGTTTGCTCTGTTGCCCAAGCTGGAGTGCAATGGCACAATCTTAGTACACGGCAACCTCTACCTCCCGGGCTCAAGCAATTCTCCTGCCTCAGCTTCCTGAGTAGCTGGGATTACAGGCACCTGCCACCACACTCGGCTGATTTTTTTTATTTTTAGTAGAGACAGGGTTTCACCATGTTGGCCAGGCTGGTCTTGAACTCCTGACCTCATGTGATTCACCTGCTTCAGCCTCCCAAAGTGCTAGGATTACAGATGTGAGCCACTGCGCCCAGCCCGCTCCTGTGTTTTTACCAACACTGCTCTAGACTTGACATTTGACTGAAAACTCGTGTTGAAACATAGAGTTCCATGAATAATTATCACTGGTTGCAGAGTTTTTTGGTGTGGTTCTTTTTGAGACAGAGTTTTCCCTATTGTTGCCCAGGCTGGAGTGCTGTGGTGTAATTTCAGCTCACTGGAACCTCCACCTTCCAGGTTCAAGTGATTCTCCTGCTTCAGCCTCCCGAGTAGCTGGGATTACAGGCGTGTGCCACCACACCCGGCTAGTTTTTGTATTTTTAGTAGAGACAGGGTTTCACCATGTTGGCCAGGATGGTCTCGAACTCCTGACCTCAGGTAATCTTCCCGCCTTAGCCTCCCAAAGTTCTGGGATTGCAGGCGTGAGCCACTGTACCCAGCCAGGTTGTGGAGTTTTATAATTTTTAAAAATTATATGCCCAGGCTGTCACTGGTCCACTGAGCATTCTCTTGAACAAGGATGAAGACCCAGAAGCCCCTCTGCCCCGCAGAAGGCTGCCTCTGGCCCAAGTTCTGTGTCATCTTGGCTTTAGATCAGGGTTCCCTGGGAGCTTTCCAAAAGCCTGGTGCCAGGCTCCACCCCAGACCACTCTAGTCCTGTCTCCTGGGGAGGGTGTGGGCGCTCCCTGCCATCCCAGCGTATGCCTGGGGCTGAGGGTTGTTGCCAGATGTTGACACAGGGCACATCCAGGGTGGGTGGGTGGGTGCTGGAGCAAGGCCCCGCTGTCAGCTCAGGAAGCCTGACCTTTCGAGGGGCCCAGCCTTGCTGAAGGCAAGTGAACTTCAGCCTCTGAAACTTGAGTTGCTGTGGGCCTGGGCTGCAGTTAGAGACCTGGGCAAGGACAGGTCTTCACTGATTAGCAGCCTTGGGCACATCCTTGCTCTGAGCTGTGGGGCCTGCTGTGTACCCAGGGATGACAGCAGCCCCTGCAGGCTCACTGTGAAGGTGGAGGCGAGAACAGTGGGGGCCTTGCGCAGTTCTGGACCTACGCTGCCCGGAGGCTCTTCCGCATGAACAGGATGCACATGCGAGCCGTGCCCAGCCCCCAGCTTCTTGAGTATGTTTTCTCTTTCTTCTTCAAGAGGTTTTCGGTAGGGCACGGTGGCTCATGGCTGTAATCCCAGCACTTTGGGAGGCCGAGGCAGGTGGATCACCTGAGGTCAGCTGGCCAACATGGAGAAACCCCGTCCCTAATAAAAATACAAAGATTAGCCAGGCACGGTGGTGAGCACCTGTAATCCTGGCTATTGCAGAGACTAAGGGAGGAGAATGGCTTGAACTCGGTAGGTGGAGTTTGCAGTGAGCCAAGATTGCACCACTGCACTCCAGCCTGGGTGACAGCGACACTCCATCTCAACAAATAAATTAATTAATTAATTTTAAAAAAGGTTTTCACCATTTTCTCTGTCTGCTTCCTTCGGGAGCTGTCTGCCTGTCGGTGGAGGCCTGCGTCTTTCCCCTGCGCTGGTTTGCTCCTACTGAGGCCAGCAGCTGCCGTGGCTTTTTCCCTTCTCTGCTTTTTTCCCCTTCCACTGACATTTCACATTTCCTCCACTTGGCCTTTCTGCTGTCTTTTTTTTTTTTGTTTGAGACGGAGTTTCACTGTTGTTACCCAGGCTGGAGTGCAATGCTGCGATCTCGGCTCACCGCAACCTCCGCCTCCTGGCTTCAGGCAATTCTCCTGCCTCAGCCTCCCGAGTAGCTGGGATTACAGGCACGCGCCACCATGCCCAGCTAATTTTTTGTATTTTTAGTAGAGACAGGGTTTCACCATGTTGATCAGGATGGTCTCCATCTCTTGACCTCGTGATCCACCCGCCTCGGCCTCCCAAAGTGCTGGGATTACAGGCGTGAGCCACCGCGCCCGGCCGGCCTTTCTGCTTTCTTTCGGGCATTCCTCCATTCTGTGCTCTGTCCAGGTGAAGTTGTGGGTTAATTGTCATAATAACCCTCTGTTTTGTCACTGTTTCCTCTCAGGGTGTTCTCTAATCAGCAGAACTTTTCTCCATTTGGTTCTAAACCTCCGGCTAACTTGACCATGGTTTTTTGAGTGGTTTGGTCTGTGGGGGCTGAAATACTTTCTCTGTGGCCGTGAAGTCCTCTCTTGCCTGGCCGGGTCAGTTCACTGAGTTCCCTGCCCACGGTTCCCTCTTGTCCTCCTAACCCCAGGGGTCCTCTGGCGGCCCAGGCAGACAAGTCAATGTCGTGCGTGCTGGTGTGTGATGTGTGTGCGTGTGCGTGTGCATGCATCATGGCCTGTAATTTACACGCAGTGAGTTTCTTCTCCCCATCTGCGGGTCACGGTTCCCTTCATTCCCTTGGGTCTGATGTCATACAGTTGCTTGGTAAAATTCCCACTCGTTTCCCAGCGAGACAGCAGAAGTAATCAGTTGATCTCCATGGGATTTGGTCTGAGTGAAGAAAGCACAGTGAGAATTTTAGGTGACCCTGTGGGGAAAGGTTTTGGTCCAAGAATTTTATAATGACAGCATTTTATGTGTACATTGTGCCCAGCAAGGTAAAACATGATGTTTTGATGAGGAGTTCTGGAAACTGATTCTTGGATATATAGACACTAGCATTCAGGAATTGCCAGATCCTGCGGTAGGCTGGCAGCCCCTACCATCTTGGTTTAAGTGAAACACAGTGTGTTAGTCCATTTTCACATTACTGATAAAGAATACCCGAGACCGAGCAATTTACAAAAGAAAGAGATTTCATTAGATTGACAGTTCCACATGGTTGAGGAGTCCTCACAATCATGGAGGAAGGCAAGGAGGAGCAAGTCGCATCTTACATGACTGGTGGCAGGCAAAGAGAGCTTCTGCAGAGAAACTCCCGTTTTTAAAATCTGCAGGCTGGGTGTGGTGGCTCATGCCTGTAATTCTAGCACTTTGGGAGGCTGAGGTGGGTGGAATGCCTGAGCTCAGGAGTTCAAGAACAGCTTGGACAACATGGCAAAACCCCACCTCTACTAAAGATACAAAAAATTATCTGGGCATGGTGACACACACCTGTAGTCCCAATTACTGGAGAGGCTGAGGCACAAGAATTGCTTGAACCCGGGAGGCGGAAGTTACAGGGAGCTGAGATCGCACCACTTCACTCCAGCCTGGGCGACAGAGTGAGACTCTGTCTCAAAATAAATAAAATAAAATAAAACAATCGGATCTCGTGAGACTCATTCACTGTCAGGAGAACAGCACAAGAAAGACCCACCCCGTGATTCAATCATCTCCCACTGGGTTGCTCCCACAACATGTGTGAATTATGGGGGCTACAAGATGAGATTTGGGTGGGGACACAGAGCCAAACCGTATCACATAGTCATGGGGCTGCGGAGGCTCCAGGCGGCTGCTCTCATCCCAGCAGGGCTGCCGGACACCCTACCCCAGGATTTGAACTGATGCGCAGCACAGCACACTCAGGGGCAGGACCTGGGCCCAGCTTCCCCCACTCTCAAGGCTGTGCGTGTCCTCAGATGGTACGTGAAGCAGGGCGCCCAGAAGACGTGCTGCCACGGCCCCTCCCACCAGTTGTCACTTGATCTCCAGAAGAGTCAGTCGCAAATGCCCTGTTGCAACGGCTCTTCCCAGCAGAAAGGAGAAGAAAGAGGCCTGAGTCCCCGGGAGCTGATCAAAGGTCTGAGCTGCGCCGGCAGTGACCATTACACAACTGAGCAAGCGCATGGCAGGAACATAAACAGACTCCAGCCGTCCGCATCGAGGGTGGCCGGGAGCGTGCCTTCCTGAGCTGCTGTTAAACTCCGTCCATCACTTTCATTCTTTGCATGAATCTTGGTCATTCCATTTGGAGCCATGTACTCTCTGGGTCTCAGAGAATGGAAACAAGCCTGAAGGCCTGTCAGATGCACTTAGGATTCTAGAGTTCTTGTCAGAGTCATTCCCTTCGCCATGGCATTAGAAGGATGGCGATGACGATGACCCTGCAGGTAGAGACGGCCTTCCAGAGCACGTTTTCCCAATCCTGCCTATACCCAAGCTGGTGAACCCCGGCTGCCTGCCGGCTGAATGATGGGGCCATTCTCAATTCTGCCCAGCTCCCGGCTTGCTGTTCTTTTCCTTCCCACTGGCCTATGGCTCTCCCTTCCTTGGGTCCCCGGCCCCTGTGCCCTCAGCCCCACAATCCTGGAGCTGCATTCAAGCCCCTCACTGCCTTCTGCACTCTGTCACTTTGAGAACAAGTACGGAACCACTTTTCATTCTGTGGTAGACTGAATAATGGCCCTTCCAGATGTGTGCATCACCCCCAGATATGTGACCCTACAAGGCAAAGGCACTCGGGAGATGTGACTAAATGAAGAGTCTTGAGCTGGAGAGATTTTCCTGGATATCCAGGCGGGCCCCATGTGTCATCGTAAGGGTCCATGCAGGGAAAGAGGGAGGGCAGGAGGGTCAATGCAAGAAGCGGAGAACAGGACTGGAGGGAGGTTTAAAGAGGCTGCCCTCTGGCCTTGAAGACAGAGGAGGGGCCAGGAGCCAAGGGATGCAGGCAGCATCTAGGAGCTGAAAACGCAGGAAATGGAGGAGGAGCCACGAGCCAGGGGGTTCAGGCAGCATCTAGGAGCTGAAAAGGCAGGAAATGGAGGAGGGGCCACCAGCCAGGGGGTGCAGGCAGCATCTAGGAGCTGAAAAGGCAGGAAATGGAGGAGGGGCCACCAGCCAGGGAGTGCAGGCAGCATCTAGGAGCTGAAAAGGCAGGAAATGGAGGAGGGGCCACCAGCCAGGGGGTGCAGGCAGCATCTAGGAGCTGAAAAGGCAGGAAATGGATTCTCTCCTGAAACAAAAGGAACATGGAGCTGCTGACACCTTGATCTCAGACTTGTGTCATTGGAAACTGTAGGGTAACGTGTTACTCTGCCTGGGCTGCTGAAACAAAACACCATAGACCGGGCAGTTTATAAACCACAGATGTTTCTTTCTCACAGTTCTGGAGGCTGGGAAGCCCAAGATCAAGGCAGATGTAGTGCCTGGGAGCGCCGCTTCCTGGTTTACAGCTGGCATCTTCTCCCTGTGTCCTCACCTGGTGGAAGGGGTGAAAGTTCTCTTTCTAGAGTCCCTTTCATAAGGGCTTTAATCCCACTCACGACAGCCCCATCCCCATGACCTAATCATCTCCCAAAGGCTCCACCTCCTCATACCACACCTTGGGGGTTAAGATTTCAACACTGAATTTGGGTGGCACACACGCGCAGTCTGTAGCAGGTGATAAGCATGTGTAGCTCTAAGCCCCTGAGCTTGTGTGCTTCAGCATTGTGTTCAGCAGCACTGACGGGAAACAGACACGTGGGTTTTACTCTTGGCAACAGCAGGGAAACAGGCAAGGTTTCACAAGAAAGGGAGCTGTAAGAGATCCCAAAAGTCACTAGTTTTGGAGGACACTGGCCTTCCCCCAGTATCAACAGGCCCAGGTCTGTTTTCCATGGTTCTTCCCTGACTCTCTGGTAGAAGCTTATCCAGGGAGTTTCTCAATTCTTGTGGAGGGGTCATCTTGCCCAACCCTGGCCAGGTTGGAGCTTGGGCTGGCTGCCCTGGGCTGGCTGCAGGGCCGCTGCTGGGGAGGCCTGGTCAATAGTTCTGAGGGAGCTCCAGCCTCTCCTCACCTGTCATGAGCATGCCTGCCCCTCCCCATCCTGAAATGCTGGATGCCCACGCTTTCTTACTGCCACCATTTCAGAGTCTGCTGGGGAGGAGGGTGAACGTGGTGTCCCCCACCCCACCCCGGTCAGGTGGCCCTGCTTATCTCTACAAGTTGTCTCTGGGTGCCTCACAGGACCTCATGACTTCAGGCCCTGGAGATTGGCCTGGCCCTTGGAACCTCCCCGGCAGCCCTGGGGCCTCACTGCTGGGTTTCAGCCTGCCCCACTGTTTCCTGGGGCTCTGGAGCTGAGAGGACCCCTCCCTCCGTGGGGCTCAGTTTGCACGGAGCCTGTTCAGCCGCTGGAAGAGGAGGCAGTGCTTCCTCACGGAGGCTCTCTGCCTCACGTACTTTGCCGTCTATGTTCTGAGCTGATGTCTTGACAAAGACTCCCTCCCTGGCCGTGGGCGACAGAGCAGGGGCCAAGCTCCCTGTGTCGGGTGGCCTCAAGCCCCTTCTGCCACCCCCAGCAGGCTTCGGTCCCTTTTGCTTCCAAGTCCCTGTTTCCCACTTGATGGTAGCTTTGAGCTCTCCACTTCTTTGAAACCCAGACCCTCACAATTCCAGAGGGAGCCCTCCGAGCTCAGAGGACCGACTGCAGCCACCTCCTCAAATTCCTGCTGACTCATTCTTGCATCATCACTAGATGCGTGGTTGGGTCCTTGCTGGGGATTCTGTGGTTATTCCGGCCCTCCAGGAGTTTACAGTGTCATGGAGACAGATGACTACCAAATACAGAACTATACAGGCATCTGACTCCATTGTGATGAGGGCTGTGCTGAGGAAGTCCAGGGCGGTGCGGTGGGGCCCATGTGGCTTCATGGCCAGTGAGGCCATCCATGGGTGTGATGTTTAGGCTGAGAGTGGACACTTGAGCAGCAGGGCAAGGACCGCGTGTGTATGTGTGCAGACGTGTGTGTGCGTTTCCTAACTGTAGGGAAGGACGCCACATTCCGGGTACATTTGAAAGGCCGTCCAACTGCTCATTCACTTATCTGCCTGGGAACTGCTCATGGAGCGCTGCAATGCCGGGCCCTGGGCTGGGGCGTGAATCCGTGTGGACTGAAGCCAGCAGTGGACACCAGCGAGTGGTCACTCCCTTCTCTCTGGAGTGAAGGAAGGTAGCAGTTTGGGCAAGAGCGATGGCCAGAAGAGCAGGGAGGCTGCAAGGAGAAAGAACGGAGAATGGTCAGAAGGCCCTGGGTGCCCCAGGGCCACAGGCAGATGGAAAGTTCAGGAAGAGGTACAGGGTGGGCCTCCAGTCTCCGTCATGAACAACTGGGAGGCCTTGGGGTCCCTTGAAGGAGAAAGGCAGGTGCAGAGAAGAAGTGGGTTGTGGGGGCGGGGGTCTGTGAGCTCCTATTCTCACTTCACCTGGGGTGGGTGACGGTGGGGAAGCAGGGAGTGCAGTGGAGAGAAGGGGGGCCTCGGAGAATCCCATGCAACTGATGCGGCTTTCTGTGGCTCTGATGTGGCTGTTCTGTGGCTCTGATGTGACTGTTCTGTGGCTCTGATGCGACTGTTCTGTGGCTCTGATGCGACTGTTCTGTGGCCTTGATGTGACTGTTCTGTGGCTCTGATGCGACTGTTCTGTGGCTCTGATGCGACTGTTCTGTGGCTCTGATGCGACTGTTCTGCGGCTCTGATGCGACTGCTCTGCGGCTCTGGTGTGACTGTTCTGTGGCTCTGATGTGACTGTTCTGTGGCTCTGATGTGACTGTTCTGTGGCTCTGATGTGACTGTTCTGTTGCTCTGGTGTGACTGTTCTGTGGCCTTGATGTGACTGTTCTGTGGCTCTGGTGTGACTGTTCTGTGGCTCTGGTGTGACTGTTCTGTGGCCTTGATGTGACTGTTCTGTGGCTCTGATGTGACTGTTCTGTGGCTCTGATGTGACTGTTCTGTGGCTCTGATGTGACTGTTCTGTGGCTCTGATGTGACTGTTCTGTGGCCCTGGTGTGACTGTTCTGTGGCTCTGGTGTGACTGTTCTGTGGCTCTGATGTGACTGTTCTGTGGCCTTGATGTGACTGTTCTGCGGCTCTGATGCGACTGTTCTGCGGCTCTGATGCGACTGTTCTGCGGCTCTGATGTGACTGTTCTGCGGCTCTGATGCGAATGTTCTGTGGCTCTGATGTGACTGTTCTGCGGCTCTGATGCGACTGTTCTGTGGCTCTGATGTGACTGTTCTGTGGCTCTGATGTGACTGTTCTGTGGCTCTGATGTGACTGTTCTGTGGCCCTGGTGTGACTGTTCTGTGGCTCTGGTGTGACTGTTCTGTGGCTCTGATGCGACTGTTCTGTGGCCTTGATGCGACTGTTCTGTGGCTCTGATGCGACTGTTCTGTGGCTCTGATGCGACTGTTCTGCGGCTCTGATGTGACGCTTCCATGACTCCGATGTGGCTGTTCTGCAGCACCCACATTCTTCAGAGCCACATTCAGATGGAAGCTCTGCCATGTGCAGGGGATGAAACCAACTGTCATTCATCCTACTGGAGGCCACACCCCCCAGGGATGCCCCCTGCTGGTCTTTCCTGAAGATGTTCTCTCTCTGGCCCTGTTCACAGGGAGGCGGGAGGACCACATGGTAAGTCCCAGAAGTGACCCGCAGCAGAGGAGGATGAGCATTGTTGGATAAATGTCCCAGGTCCCTCCTCCCTCCATGGAGCAGCTCTAGGCATGTTCTGCTCAGACGTCTGTGCAGTCGTAGTGAGTGGGATGAACCGAAGTTCCCTCTAGCCGGGACCCTCTCTCTAGGGTACCTGTCTTCCCACCTTCACTGTGCATCCTGGGATCACCCCCAAAATCAACTGCTTGCCCCCAAATCTTTGTCTTAGGGCTTTCAAGGGAGGGAAGTGAGGCAAAGACACTCATGAAAGTTCTTCTGACGTACTACGATGAGCTCTGTCAGTTTAATGGAAAAGTTGGTTACAGTGCATCATCATTATTATTTTGAGACAGGGTCTTGCTGTCACCCATGCTTGAGTGCACTGGCACAGTCTCAGCTCATTGCAACCTCAACCTCCTGCGCCCAAGCAATCCTCCCACCTCAGCCTCCCAAGTAGCTGGGACTGTAGGCACATGCCACCACACCTGGCTAATTTTTTGTACAGATGAGATTTTGCCATGTTGCCCAGGCTGGTCTCGAACTCCTGAGCTCAAGGGATCCCCACCCACCTTGGCTCTCCAAAGTGCTAGGATTACAGGTGTGTACCACCCCACCTGGCTGCATAAGTTTTTAAAATATCTTAGGACTAGTACTCAGTGAAACATTTTATTGAGTCATAAAGAGTCCAATCTACTTATTTGAAGCTAGGTTTTTCCGACTTTAAAAACTTGTGTCTAGTCAATTTGCCCTGTAAAATCAACACATAGCTGCACACTGCTGTCCCACCCCGATTAGGTATGAAGAGGAGGAGGGGAGGGATCCCGAAGGCGTGGATTTGGGGCGAGGCGACCTTCCTAACTCATTTTAAATCACACCCGGAGGCACCTTTGAGGTCTGCTCCAATCCCACGCCCGCCCCCCTGCACACGCCTCTTCCTTCTGTGCCATCCCGCCAGTCTCTCCTGCAGGGTCAGATCTGAAATAACACAAAATACTGCGGATGGCAGAAAGCGGGTGTCTAAAGCATCCTGTGCTCTTGAGCCTGCAGCAGCTGCAGGTTTTAAAAATTGATAACAGGGGTGAATCCAGAAGGCAGATGCTTTGCTGTGGCCCCACCCAGAGCCAAGCACAGGTGGAGGCTCCACTCACAGTCTCCCTTCCTTCTAAGGCTCCAGGCCTGTGATTTAATTACCGCCCAAAGCAGAATCAAGCCCAGGTTGTCCAAGATGATGTCATTAATTACATTTCACCTGTGACAGTTACTAGCTGGTCCACACTTGTCGGGCCGGCTCTGGTGGATGGCAGGTCAGTCTCTGCTGGCTCCTCGCTTCTCATCTGCATTGCCTGAGGATGTGGCAGAAGCCCATCCCACTATGGGGCCCAGGTGAGATGCTTGGGGGAGGCAGCAGGACTCCGAGGACCACAGATTTCTAAAAGCACAGTATTTCGGAGCATCTGTTTACCCTTTTGTTATGGAACGGTCGTCCCACCCCCTGCTCCTCCCACAGATCCCTCCCCTCAGTGCTTGGAACTTGTGTGGTTTAAGAAGTCGGAGCAGGAAGGCTGTGATAATCATGCATTGGTAACCGGGATGCACAAGGGTCGGTGGTCTCCACCTGAAGGTGGGGAGGGGGATGTCCGAGCCCCAGGATGCCCTGCTGAGAGGCACAGCCAGCACAGGGAATTCCAACCTCCCAGCAATGGGTGGGTGGCACGGGGTCACTTTAATACCACCGGCGGTGTTTCCAATGACACGAACAGTGACAATGACAACTAAAAGCGGGCTCCATCTTACCAAGCGTTTCACATGTATGCTTCCCTTTGATCCTGCCAGTAGCTTGTGAGCGAGGTTCTCTTGAGCCTCATTGCACCCAGGAGGAAGCTGGGGCTCAGAGAAGCTAAGTGCGGCCCACCAGCTAGTAAAGGATGATGCCTCATGGCTGGGCTTTGGCTGGGATTGGTGACAATGGCTCTTCTCTGGACAATTGTGGGTGCACAGAAAGGTGGCCATGTAGGCCTGGCTGCAGCAGCTCCGTCTGTGAGTTCCGGTCCAGTCCCTAAGAGCCAAGAGCATCACTTGTCAGACAAGTGACTGAGAGCCACACGTAACCTCGGGACTCCACTGGTGTCCCTTTGGAAGCTGGACGATCTCCCACATGTCTCACTCTTTTTGGCCTGGGGCTTCCCGCCCACCTCATGTATCCCGTTCCACGCTCCTCACCACCCACCTGCCTCAGTTCGGTGTCTTCTGGGCTCCCCATTCCAGGCTTAGGCACCTCCCTGCAGCCCCATGCCTGCGTCCTGTTGGCTGCGGCTTTGAGCCACCAGAATGGGCTTCTTTGGGAGCTGGTGGTCTCTGGCATTGGAGGTAATCCTACAGAAGCTGGACCCCAACTTCTATCACTGCATGGATTCGGCGTCGCTGTTCATATCTTCAGCTGGGCTGCCACAGCATGGGTTCAGTTGAAGGGAGAAGAAAGGAATTGATTTTGAAAGTTGATTATGTATTGCATTAAATATGTAGAATTTTCTTATTTTCCTCTTTCTAACTTTAAGAGGATCTCCTTGGTTACATACCCTGGATTTTGTTTTATTTTATTTTTGAGACAGAGTCTCACTCTGTTGACCAGGCTAGAGTGCAGTGGTGCGATCTCGGCTCACTGCAACCTCCGCCTCCTGGGTTCAAGCAATTCTCCTGCCTCGGACTCCCAAGTAACTGGTTACAGGTGCCTGCCACCACACCCAGCTAATTTTTTGTATATATATATATATATTTTTTTTTATTAGAGACAGGATTTCACTATGTTGGCCAGGCTGGTCTGGAACTTCTGACCTCAGGTGATCTGCCTGCCTCTGACTCCCAAAGCGCTGGGATTACAGGAGTGAGCCACTGCGCCTGGGGAAATCCTGTGTTTTTGCTGCCCTTCCCCTCCCAGCTCAGCAGAGGTTCACTTGGGAAAGTCCCCTTCCTGTCCTACTCAGAATAGCTGCATTCCGATGGCTCCTTGCAGTTGGCTGCATGCCCTGGTGTCTGTCAGGGCACAGAATGCAGCTGAGACACCTGGAGCCTGAAAAGGTGGAAGGACAGAGAATTCAAAACCGGCTTTGCATTGAGTTGAAAATGGAATTTACATGCATCCAGCTCTGGGTAGAGAGTGTGTTGGAGGTACAGCAATGAGGTGTGTTTGGATGTCATCCCGCCACTCTGTCCCAGTGGTTCTGAACGTCTAACTCTATCTGACTTAGGCTCATGTGACCCCTATTCTCCTCCCCAGACACCCCCAAGGGGGAGGCATGTGTGGGCGAGGGGAGGTGGCGGGGGTGCTGGCTGCTCAAGAGCGACATGGAGGGCCAGGGTTGCACAAGCTCATTTGGAAGTAGATGGGGACAGTTAACCTCTAACAGCTTTACGATCAGTGACATCATAACCACTGGTGTCCTTGGCGATCAGAAATCCCTTTCCCCAAGGGAGTGGGGCAGCTGCTACGTGAGCTAGCTACCCAATATCAGGGAGATTAGAGGCGCTCGCTTTCCATGTTGAGCTTAATCATAGTTTTATTTCCCGTCCCTGCTTGGGTTAGTTTCTTAATTGTGCCCTTATAAAGGAATGCTGGGGCTGGATAATCTATACATACGTCTATATATATGTATGTATGTGTATGTATACATGTATGGTTTATTTGGTTCATGATTCCAGTTGGCTGGAAAAGTCCATGGTTGGGCATCTGCATCTGGGGAAGGCCTCAGGCTGCTTCCACTCATGGGGGAGGGCAAAGTGGAGCTGGGTGTGCAGAGACCACAGGGCAAGGAGGACCCAGCGGGAAGGAGGGGAAGTGCCAGGTCCTTTCCAGCAATCAGCTTTCTTGGGAACTAATGAGTGAGAACCCACTCACCCTCAGGGAGGGCATTAGTCCATTCATGAGGGATCTCCCCTCCTTACCCAAATGCTTCCCATTAGGCTCCACCTCCAACACTGAGACCACATTTTTTAAATCGAATTTAACTTTCCACTGCAGCCTCAACCTCCCAGGCTCAGGTGATCCTCCCTGAGGCTCAGCCTCCCTAGTAGCTGGAACTACAGGTGCATGCCACCATGCCTGGCTAATTTCTGTAGTTTTTTTGTAGTCGGGGGTGTCTTGCTATGCTGCCCAGGCTGGTCTTGAACTCCTGGGCTCAAGCGATCCACTCACTTTGGCCTCTCCAAAATTCTGGGATCGCAGGCGTGAACCACCGTGCCCGGGCTGGGAGACCAAATTTCAACATGAAGCTTGGAGGGGACAAATATCCAAGCCATAGCCCTTGTTCCTTAGAGGATCTGGACTTGGCAGGTGACCTGGCAGGTGACTTTAGGTCACTATGAGAGTCCTCTTACTTTCACACAACTGCAACCTCCATGTGCACCTCTTCTTAAGCCACACGGAGCCGGCTGCCCAGCAGGTTTGAGAGCGGCACTTCCTGAGCTGTCCACTGATCCTTCCCCTAAATCTCGGTGCAGAGAGTCAGAGGGGTTATTCACACCTCTGCCCGGGACAAGATGGCTCGCTCAGGAAGAAACACCCGCTTCCCCAGCGGCAGCATCGTTGCAGGGCGAGGAGCAGCATCCACCACGCTTGTCCTTTCTGTGTCCCTAAATGCAAAGGCGAAAGATGGGCTTTTTCAACAGATTCAAGTCAAGCAGACGGTGGGAGAATCATGGTCTTTAAAATTTGTTTTCAAAACAATAAAGCGAGATTTAGACATTGGTAACTGACTAGCCCATGTTTATTTGAAGTACCATGGAATCCTTAATGGCAGTATTTATTCAAAACCTGTGTCAGTGAGAAAAAATATTTGGTTTCCCAGAGGCTGTGCTGGAGGAGGAAGAATTCCGGGAAACCACAATTGGGCTTAAGCATCTCCCGTCCAAACAGCTGGGGAGCCATCGGTTTCCATGTCTGTCGGGTAACTGGATGACATCACAGCTAAATCTGGGGTAACTGCACCCGGGCACTTTCTGCTTCGAGGGAGAGATTCTCACCATTTCTTACCTTCAGGAAAGACACCCATTGCATATCTGAGAATTTAGAGGGTACGTTATGCCCCACACCAAGCTAGACTATTAGGCCTTGGGAAGTTGATTTAGGCTACATGGGACTTATTTTAAGATTCTGAAGTCATTACCACTGCACTCTATCTTCTGAGTAATGTGCCTGTCTTGTAGACTCTCGGGAGGAAATGCTTCACTCCAGCTTTATTTAGGTCATTACCGCAAGGCTGAGGCGAAGGCCACGTGTGAGGTCACTGACTGGCTGCTGCCAAGGGCAGGTTTATGACACGCAGTGGATGCCTTCCCAGCAGCCCCCGCCCACACGCTGGCTGATGCACGTGTCCGGTGCCCGCACAATGATGGTTTTTTAGCCAACAAGGTGCTTCGCTGTTAAGTGGTGGAGGCTCAGGGAACAGGAGCTGCACGAACGCACAGGTAGATAGGGGCTGGTTTCCCAGGGGGCTTCGGGAAAACATTCTAATGTTTCTTTCTTCCCCAGTAACAATGAGCAGGTAGCTCTGACCACCTGCCGGGGCATCTAACTGACCTCTTCTATGATAGGCATATTAGCTGCTTGTCACGGGTCAGGGACAGATGGAGTGGACGGTGGTAGGAATCTGTGTCTGACCTTCCTCTATTGCTTCCTGGGCTTAACAACTTTGATTAAAACATTTGTCTCCTGGCTGGGCGCAGTAGCTCTTGCCTGTAATCCCAGCACTTTGGGAGACTGAGGCAGGAGGATTGCCTGAGCCTAGGAGTTCAAGATCTGCCTGGGCAACAGGGCAGAACCCCCATCTCTACAAAAATAAAAATAAATGACCCGGGTGCGGTGGCTTACATCTGTAGCCCAGTTCTTTGAGATGGAAGGATCACTTGAGCCCAGGAGGTTGAGGCTGCAATGAGATATGATCACACAACTGCACTCCAGCCTGGGTGACAGAGAAAGACTCTGTCTCTTTAAAAAAAAAAAAAAAGGCCTTCTTTCCCATAAAGAGTACATCCTAAACCAGTTTTTCCTCTAACATGAATTGACCCAAGAATCACCTGTAGATCTGTAGAGCTGCAGATCCTGATCCAGTGAGTCGGGGCAGGCATAGGAGTCTTGCAAGCTCCCAGGTGACACTGATGTCGCTGGTCTGGGGGTGCACTTTGAGCAGCCAGGACCCAAGCTTCGCTTGACTCCAGGAGACATCCAGAGCTGGCTTGCTCTTTGCTTCTCCTTAGCATCGTGCTGTGGCCATGCTGGGTGCTGGGGTCTCCATTCATTACTGTAAGTCAACATGTAGCCATGACATTTCTGGCATCAGTGTGGATGTGTGATAAGTCCATATTTGCAGGAACCTAAGGAAAGACCCATTTGCTCATCATCTGTGAAGGTGTGGGTAGGAGACCATCAGACCTAGGGAGAGGAGAGAGCTGTGGAGGGAAATGAGAGTCAGGAAGAGAATGAGGAGCTCTGGGCATGTAGGGGGACATCAGGGTCCAAGGGGGGAGCTAGGTGGGGCCTGCCTGGGCCTCTGCAAAGAGACCTGGCGGAGGGGGTGGAAGTGGGGTGCTCGCCTGTTGGCATGTCAAGGACAGGGTGGTGATAGATTGGTCTCCTAGAGACCAAGGAGCCTCAATGAACTGTCACCTACCCCAGAGCCCAGCATAGGGTCTGGCACATGGTAAATGCTCAGACAACATGTTTTGAATGAATGGAGTGGAAATCAGGTACACATATGAGACAAGAGCCTGACACTGTGTGACGCAGGGTCAGACCGGGGGCAGGTGAGTGGTGCCTGTGTAGAGGGGACTGTGGGCCTGGTTTTCCTCACTCTGCGGTCCTGCTTCTGAACGGAGTAGCCGTGGACCTATCGTTGGGAAAAGGAACTCAGAAGAGGCCCAGTCCAGAGTCTGGGTCTTGGAAGAGAGAAACTGGGGGGCTTCAGCTGTGCAGTGACCCATAGCTGTGTGGGGTCAGGATGCAAGGCTCAGAACCAGGCGGCCGGCCCAGCCTGGGTGTTCCACTCTAGACACTCCGTGTGGGCTGATGTTTGTGTGGTCCAGGGCACTGCCTCGTCCTGAGCATTTCATCGACTGGAGACTGGGTGTTTCTCATCACAGAGGAGCCTGCACAGGCTGCAGAGCAGGACCAGGCTCTGAGAGCCGGGACAGGGGCCCTGGAGGAAAGGACTTGCTGCAGCACGTGCCCATTCCCTAGACCCTCTGTCCCCAGGTGTGTGGCCAACAGTGTCCCTGTGCATTCTGTGGGCCACCAATGTCTCCAAGAAGGGAGAGTTTTCTACGGAGCCCAGCAAGGAGCAGATGATGCAGCCCTGCTGACGGCCTTTGGCTTTGCGAGTGCTCTTTAAACCCGTGCGCTCCCCGGAAGCGCTGGGCAGCTGCTCAGGCTGCGAGAAGTCTTCACTCACAGAGACGGATGCATCCCAGGGTGCCTCACTCTGCCTTTATTCTTCCCGCCACAGGCCCAGCGTCCCCAGGCCACCTCTGCTGAGATTACACAGCGTGTTGCCATCGTGATTCGTACATTAGCTATTGTGATGTATAATTTTAGCCTGAGAAAAAAGTTGCAAGAATAGCACAAAGAAATGTTTGTTCCCTTCAACCAATTCATTAATTGTGAGCATTTTGTCTCGTTTGCTTCATATCTTCTTTCTAGTATAGTCTCTATGTATGTATCTTTTCTTAGACATACCAGCCCTGCCCATGTGCATATCTTTTCATACATGTGTGTATATATATGTGTATACATATGTGTATGTAAATATATGTATATATGTGTATATACATGCATATCCGTGTATATGTAAATATATGCATGCATGCATGTGTCTATATAGGCATGTAAATATGTGTGTATGTATGTATACATGTGTGCATATACACATGTGTATGTAAATATATGTGACATGTGTAATGTGCATATACATGTGTGTATATGTATATATTTGCATATACACGTGTGTATTTAAATATATGTGTGTATATGTATATGCATATATACCTGTGTATATGTGACTATATGTGTATGTGTGCATATACATGTGTGTATAAATATGTGTGCATGCATGTGTGTATATATGTGAATATACATATGTATGTACGTAAATATGTGTGTGTGTGTATATGTGTGTCTGTGTGTATCTGTGTACCACAGACAGACAGACAGACACACACACATACAGATTTTAGGGCAAAGACTATTTAAAGAGGTTGGAGATATCAGGTTTCTTCCCCTAAGCGCTTTGACGTGTGTTGCTAAGAATATTCATTCTCTGACATCACTGGTATTGCTATGCCCTGTCCTAGAATCCATCACATCATCCTTATTCAAACATAATGCCCTTTGCAACCATGTTTTTTCCAGTTTAGGATCTTCTTTTGAATCTGTGTTGCATTTGGCTTTATGATCGTGATGACATTGAGGGAAAGATTATTTTCATTTTCTTTAGTAAAGAAAGTACAGGGGCCAGGCGTGGTCGCTAACCCCTATAATCCCAGTGCTTTGGGAGGCCAAGGCAGGTGGATCATGAGGTCAAGAGTTTGAGACGAGCCTGGCCAAAATGGTAAAACCCTGTTTCTACTAAAAATATAAATATTAGCTGGGCACGGTGGCGGGCGCCTGTAATCCCAGCTGCTTGGGAGACTGAGGCAGGAGAATCACTTGAACCTGGGAAGGGGAGGTTGCAGTGAGCCCAGACAGTGCCATTGCACTCCAGCCTGGGTGATAGAGCAAGACTCCATCTCAAAAAAACCCAAGAAAGTGCAAAACTAGAACCAACAACATCAAAGTTGCTTGTATGGAAAGGCTTGAAATCCATAAATTGTTCCCAACAATCAGCAAACAGAATCCAGAAACCTATCCGCCGGGCAGACCTCTGCATGTGGCTGACCTCTGGGGAGCAGGTGGGTGCGGTGGTCTGCTGTCAGGTTTGCAGTGAATGAAGTGATGCCATCTGGATGCTGGCCTCCTCCACGTCTGTATGACTGAGAAGGCAGCCCCTGCTTCTTCAGTTTTGAACCTGGTTTCAGATGCTGCTCTTGGGTTAAAAAGCAGATTTCTGGCCATGCTCTTTGATCACAAATTTAATTACAAAGTTTGCTCTGACCCCAAAGGAATGAAAACTTACCTGCCAAATGAAAGCTGCAAGTTACTAGATTTTTACTTGATCAGCCTCTCTTTCTGTAACCAAAGAATCATTCTTTGTCCTGATGCGATGTCGGTCACCCTCAAGCTCAAAGCCCTTTTGTGGGGCGCCCTTATCTCTCTGAGGGCCTGTGTAGTGCAGACAAGGGGAGTGAGAGGTGATGATGTGACAGCTCTTGGCCCTACTCTTAGGCCCCGAGCCGGCAGTGGGGCTTAGACTGCAGCATCCTGACCTGACTTCCAGGCTCTGCTTCCAGCAGGTGAGTTTCTCCAGCAGGCAGAGGACACATGCAAAATTAAGATACATTTCCAGGCTGGTTTTTACGTTAAAACCCCAACTTAAAAAAACTTTTCCATAAATTACTGGGGGGCAGGTGGTGTTTGGTTATATAAGTTCTTTGGTGGTGATTTGTGAGATTTTGGTGTACCCACTGCCCAAGCAATATACACTGTGCCATATTTGCAGTCTTTTATCCCCTGCCCCCCTCCCATTCTTTCCCCCAAGTCCCCAGAATCCACTGGACGATTCTTAAGCCTTTGCATCCTCATAGCTTAGCTCCCACATATCAGTGAGAACGTATGATGTTTGGTTTTCCATTCCTGAGTTACATCACTTAGAATAATAGTCTCCAGTCTCACCCAGGTCACTGCAAGTGCATAAAAAGAAAAGTTCATTTCTTTTTATGGCTGCCTAGCATTCCATATATATATCACAGTTTCTTTATCCACTCATTCATTGATGGGCATTTGGGCTGGTTCCACAACTTTGCAATTGTGAGTTGTGCTGCTACAAACGTGTGTGGAAGCATCTTTTTCAAACAATGACTTCTTTTTCCCTGGGCAGATACCCAGGAGTGGGATCGTGGATCAAATGGAAGTTCTACCTTCAGGTCTTTCGGGAATCTCCACGCTGTTTCCACAGTAGCTGTACTAGTTTTACGTTCCCCCCAGCAGGGTAGACGTGCTCCCCGTTCCACTGCATCCACACCAACATTGACTGTTTTCTGATTATGGCCATCCTTGCAGGAGAAAGGTGGTATCACACTGTGGTTTTGATTTGCATTTCCCTGATAATGAGTCATGCCGAGCATTTTCCCGTATGCTTGTCGGCCATCCGTACATCTTCTTTTGAGAACTGCCTGTTGATGTGCTTAGCCCGCTTTTTGATGGGATTGCTTTTTCCTTACTGATTTGTTCAAGTTTGTTGCGGATTCCGGATACTAGACCTTTGTCAGACGTGTAGAGGATTTTCTCCCACTCTGTGGTTGTCTGTTTACTCTGCTGGCTGTTCCTTTTGCTTTTCGAAAGCTCTTTAGTTTAATTAGGTCCCAGCTATTTAGCTTTGTTTTTATTACATTTGCCTTTGGGTTCTTGGTCATGAAATTCTCACCTAAGCCAATGTCTAGAAGGGTTTTTTCCAATGTTATCTTCTAGAATTTGTGTAGGTTTAAGTCTTTAATCCGTCTCGAGCTGATTTTTGCATAAGGTGAGAGATGAGGATCCAGTTTCTTTCTCCTGCATGTGGCTAGCCCGTCATCCCAGCACCGTTTGCAGAAAAGGGTGTCCTTTCCTCACTTTATATTTTTGTTTGCTTTGTTGAAGATCAGTTATCTACAAGTATTTGAAAAACCTCAACTTTTAAATGTTTATTACACATTTTATATAACAGCAAAATGTTCAGAATGCTTTATGGATAAATAGGAGACTTAAAAATGAACTAAACCTCACTTGGGCCACACATTAGAATTTTCCACGTGGGGCTTTGGACTGGTCTTACCTTTCTAATGTGCTTGGGTAATGATGTTTCTAGAACGTTTGTTCTTATTTGCAGGAGAGGAGGATGAGGTGCAGGGTGTGTAGGAAACTTGCTCAAGATGATCCAGCCAGTAAAGGGTGTAAGTAGGCTGTTCCAGAAGCTGCCTCCAGAGGTCACATCCCAGAGTTTACCAGCTCAGAGGTCGCCATGCTACCTCCTGGTTATGCAGTGGGGGCTGGAGTACCCCACTGAATGGGGGATCCGTTCCCAGGCAGTCCCTGAGTCCATATTTCTGCACAAAGTGCCCAGGTCCTTGTTGAGAGAGGGTAGAGAGCAGGAATCAGACGGTCTTCGTTGGCAGCCTCATTTTCTACCGTGAAACGAGCACATTAGCACCCTCTCAAGTCAGGGAGCTGTTTTAAGGATTCATGAGGCCATGCGTAGAAAAGCACCCAGCAAGTGGCTTGGATGTCAACAGGTGCCCAGGGAATGACGAAGCAGCACGTGGGG